GATAGGTAATTTCCCCCGTGCTTTGGCTGGCCTTGGTTCAATAGATATGTCATTTCAACAGAATAATCCCAAAGGTGCTTTTTCAAATGGTAACTGGAACATTAGAGGTTTTTAAGAAGAGGTTGGACAACTATTTGTCTGAAATGGTATAGGGTTTCTTGCAGGGGGTTGGACTAGATGACCTCCAAGGTCCCTTCCAACTCTGTTATTCTGTTACACACAGAGACACACTGACAAACTTATTATTTTCCAAAATAATCAGAATAGAGAATAGAGCTGAAAGGGACCTAGTACTGTGTTTCCTCAAAAGTAAGACCTACCCCCAAAATAAGCCCTAGTTTGGGGGCAAGGGACACACCTAAAAATCAAACTAGGGCAAGAGTGAGGGGGTAGAGCTGTCCCACACACCCCACACCTGTTTACCTTACCAGTAGGACCGCCGCAGCCAGACTTCCCATGCCCCAACACCTATCTTGCCACTGCCTGAGTTCTTCTGTGTCTGCTTGTAGCTGCATGGCTGGTAACGTGGCAGGAGGCCACATCGCACTTCAGGCTGGTGCCACTCACACCAGCCCGAAGCACCATGTGGCCTCCTGCTGTGAGCAGTGGCACCATCCCAAAGAACCATGCAGCCTCCTGCCATCAGCAGCGGCACCACCGCTATGTGCCACGTGGCGTCTGGCCACAAGAAGCAACACGCAGCCACTAAAGAAGTCAATCAGCAGTGCGACAGGTGTCAGGGTGTTGAAGGCCTGGCTGTGGCAGTCCTAAAGTAAGACATCCCCTGAAAATAAGACCTGGTGCCTCTTTTGGAGGCACAAAATATATAAGACTGGGTCTTATTTTGGGGAAAACATGGTAGATCTTCTAGTCCAACCCCTGCTCAGGAGACCCTATATCATTTCATAGGTGATTGGCCAGTCTCTTCTTAAAAACCTCCAGTGGTGAAGCACCTACAACCTCTGAAGACAAACAGTTCCACTGGTTAGAATTTTGTCCTTAATTCCAGGTTGCCTCTCTTCTTGATTAGTTTCTACCCATTGTTTCTTTTCTTGCCTTCTGGTACTTTGGAAATTAAGTTGACCCTTCTTCTTTGTGGCAGACCCTCAATAATGAAATATTGCTATCATGTCACTCATAATCCTTTTCTCTAGATTGGCCTACTCAATTCTTGCAACTGTTCTTCATGTTTTTGTCTCCAAGCCTTTAATCATCTCAGTTGCTCTTCTCTGCATTTTTTTCCAAAGTTCTCAACATCTTTTTTGTAATGTGGTGACCAGAACTGGAGGCAATATTCCAGGTGTGGCCTTATTCAGGATTTATAAAGAAATACTAATATTTCACGTGATTTTGATTCCATGCCTCTGTTTATACAACCAAGGACTGTATCAGCCTTTTTGGCTTCTGCCCACAGTGCAGGCTCAATATAGTAAGAATACTATATCAAATATTCTATAGTATATCAACTACTTATAAAAATGAAATATATAGGTTGTATTTTAAAGGAATCCATCTTTAAAGAAGCAACAGTCAATTTTTTTACCATTTTACTCTATATTTACCAATTATACTCTATTACCCTTTATTGGACACACTTTTTTTTTTTTAATGCAGGAGATCATTTTAGACTATAATATCTCTATTGGAGTTTAATATTATGGTTATCCTTATAGCAATATATAAACAGTGAGTGGAGCAACTCAACTTCAGTGTATTCCCTGCAGGCTTGGCTGCAAGCTAACATTTTTTTCCTTTACTCTTTGCTGGGAAGGTTTTTTCAAATGAAAGCAATAGGAAGACATTTATACAAATCAAATCTCTGCTTTGAGGTTGTGATGGAAGGCTGAAGATTCTCTTGCATCTAAATCTTATATTTTCAGCCCTCCCCAAATCCATAGTGTGCCCCATTTTTGACCTTTGGAGCCACAAAATTTCCAATATGAAAAAGGACAATAGTGAAAACGTGCAAGATCAAGTTTCTTATCGTTTTTTCATTGAGAAGAAAAATAACCATATCAAACCACCGAAGTCTTCACATCATTTATTTTTGAGCAGAACAAAAACCAACCACCCGACTTTCTTAATAATGAATGGGAAAACTCCTATAGTATCTGTTATAACCTCTACAATAATTCATGGTTGAAAAATGGTTGAAAAGCTTTTCTTCCTGAATGTGAAAAAGTTGTCTCCCATGACATTAAATGTGAGTTGTGGTGCAAGCAGTTTAAGCTGGATCCCAGGTTTTCTCATTCTGATCCAAGGAGTGACACCAGATGTAAATTCTATCAAGAATGCAAAATTCATTAAAGATTTAATTGTAAATCAGACCCTTTGGCCTTAATGTATATAAGTCATTTTTTCTGCCCCTTTAATTTGACTTTCTCTACTTAAGCATTAGCACTGAAGCCAGTTTTGTGAAGCTTCTTGAGGAACTCAATTTGTTTTTAGGATGACATCTTCACATAGAATCCAAAACCTGTCACCTTGAAATGAAATCCATGCTGATTCAGTGACCTCATTAATTTTTGTAAGTAGATATAAATGCCAGCCTTTCTTTTTGTAGAAATCAGAATAAAAAATGGTCTACCATGCTGGATACGGAACTAGAGGCAGAACAAATTATTGTGTACATACTCCAAAATTTCTCTGCTGTCCAGGAAGGGAGTGATGAGAGGACTAATTTGCCAAAGCACAGTGCTTCCCTTTGATCTCGGATGAAATCTCTTCTTATATTCTTTATTTCTTACATTGGTGTGCTGGTCTATTCCATATATATATATATATATATTCCACATATAAAAAGGCAAAGAAATTACTAGACCTACAAATATGAATCAAATTTCCTATATACTATCCATGCATAAACTAGTTTTCCATCAATTTCAGCAACCCTAATATGAAGCTTGCTAAATGCAGATAGGGGTAAACCAGTGGTTCTCAACCTTTCTAATGCCGTGACCCCATAATACAGTTCCCCATGTTGTGGTGACCCCCAACCACTTATACATCACTGGGTGCCAGGGGCGTGGCCAAAGAAAAAGAGGAAAAATGGCAGACAGCCTTGTTTGGCGACCCCCGTGACATGGTCGTTCGACCCCAAATGGGGTCCCGACCCAAAGGTTGAGAACCACTGGTGTAAACGGTTCTCAATGTGGAAAAGAGTTCTTTAGACACTCCTTTAAGACATCCTTGACCTTCTGATTTCTCAGAGTGTAAATAAAAGGATTCAATAATGGAGTAATAACTGCAGTGACAAGTGCAATGGATTTTTGCACACCCTGCGAACGTCCTTTGGTGGGTAAGGAGTACATGAAGATGGAACTGCCATAGAATATGGTAGCTACTGTAATGTGGGAAGCACAGGTGGAAAAGGTCTTCTTCTGGCCTTTGGTGGAATGCATCCGTAGGACAGTCGAAATAATATAGAGGTAGGAGACCCCGTTGACAGATAAGGAGGTGAGCAACATCATTAAAGAGAAAGCTATCTCAAAGTCCAAAAGGAAATGGACGTTCTTGCTGCAAGAAAGCTTTACAATTGGGGCATAGTCACAGAAATAATGGTCAAGGAGGTTAGAGCCACAGAAAGACAGACTGAGAAGGAAGAGCAATGGAATGAGGAGGAGAAGGAATCCCCCAGTTCAGCAGCCCAGAACCAAGAAGACACAGAGATGTTTGCTCATGATGATGACATAACGGAGTGGGTAGCAGATAGCAACATAGCAATCAAAGGCCATCACAGCAATAAGAACACACTCACAGGTACCCAAGGAGAAGTAGAAATAGCATTGGGCAATACATCCCCCAAAAGAAATAGCTTTGTTCGAAGAAATCAGGCTGATGAGCATCTTTGGGCAGATTGTCAAGACAAAGAAAGTCTCCAGAAGAGACAAGTTGCAGAGGAAGAAGTAGATGGGGGTTTGGAGGCGTTGGTCCATGCATACCAGTGTGATGATGGTGAAATTCCCAGTTAATGTGAGCAGAAAAATCAACAGGAACATCCAAAACAAGAAGCATTCCAAGATCCTGGAAAGTTGGAAGCCAACTAAGATGAACTCTCAGCCACCTCTGTGATGTTGGGAGAGTTCAGTTCCATGTCCAATAGGAGTCTGAAGGGTCCTGCAGCATGAATTCTTAGAATTTCAACACACCCTGAAACTTCAGAACAGATTATCAGAATTCCAGATTGTTTCAGCATATAAACTTGTAATTGTCCACATTCAGAATATGAAGGATATCTATTTCTGTGCTGTTTCTGGATTCTGTCTTGAGGTGCTTTTCAATAAGATCACACATCCCAGTAAATTATATTGTTTAAAAACAACAGTCCAAAATGCATACAGTAGCTAGTGCATCATCCCTTACCCATATTTTACCGCCCCAAAAGCTATTTTCTTAAGAAATCCACATTACCAGTGCATTCTTTTTTTTCTTAGATATTTGTCCTTATTTTTCAAGACTAAGGATTACTAGATAACATGGTGTTAAAGTCCACCATCCCAGAATAGACATTAATTTTTATATACTGTTTCAAAGATGCACTGTTTTTAACTTATTTATCTAGCTGAAAGTGTTGATAACAGTAGTTTTCATTCATTTTATCGTTTCTGTCCTCATCTGCAGTCACCTCAATTTTGATGATCTTCTCAGTGAAATATCAAGAACATGGAGAAAATGAGACCAACTTTTTTCATCTTTGGTTGCAGATTTGTGTCACATCCATTGACTGCATGGATTGGATATCCTGCCTGGGTTTCATTGCTGTTATGAAGCTGAACATATGCACTGCAAGCTAGGAAAATCAGGCCTAATATTAAAGTTTGATGCCACCAAAATGAATATATTTACTTACAAACTTTACTCTCTGGGGAACCTATTAACAAATGTCTCCAAGGGCGTATCTCAACTTATACTTTTTAAATGCTGATTTATTTACCTGATTGTTAAAGAGGGATATTGCTGCCTTGGAATTAATCACCTGCTAAATTCACTTCAGGGGAAAAGTGTCACAGGATGGAGGAAAATAAAAACATATCCTACAGTATGCGTAGGCAAAGCCATCAGAATGCCAGTCTAAAAAAGACTAAATTGGAAGTGACCACGTGAGATCTTCCTGCTGAAAGTTTGGGATGTGGAGATGAAAATAGGAACCACTACTTCCTTTCTTCTTTCAGATGCAAGCTAGAACTATCACTGATGATCATCCCAAAGTTTCATTCTTGGGGCCACTAGTTTCTCCCAGTTCATGTACACCTTATGAGAAGGATTCTTGTGATGTTTTCAGATACAGTATGTATTGCCTCTGATTTGTAGACATAATGAAAGACAGTTTAACCATGTACAAAATGGCTTCTACCAGCAGAAATTAAAATGAGACAATAGCATAACATCATAACAATGATATGAATACTTTTATATGTAGATTGCAAGGGGTGAAAATGTTAGGCATCAAAAATAAGGGAATAAAATTTGATAGTTCCTTTTTTTCCAATACTTTTTTTCAGTATTGGAGTATAATAACTTCTGGAGGCAAGTTCTCCACTGATTATTATTTTTTCACTGTCAAGAAATTCTCCTTAGTTCTAGGTTACTTCTCTCTTTGTTCAGTTTGCATTCATAGTTTCTTGTCTTGCCTTCTGGTGCTTTGGAGAATAGCTTGACCCCCCACTTGTTTGTGGTAGCCCCTTAAATATTGGAACACTGCTATCATGTCATCCCTAGTCCTTCTTTTCATTAGACTAGATGTACCCAGTTCCTGTATGCATTTTAACCTTCAGCCCCCAAATCATCTTTATCTGTTCACATTGATTCTGTTAACATTCATATGTTCTCATTGATTTTAGGTAAAAAATATTGGAAGAGAATTTGAACCCATCTCAGAAGAAATGTCTGGAGAACATTGAGCAAAGGTGAGATAACCAAAATATCATCATCCAGAAACAGACCTTGTGGACATCACAAGGATGAATTGTTTTTGACAGGCTGAAACATGGAGGGGTCCCTTGTAGCTCCACTTGGATTAACCACACTCAGAGGTAGACTACAGTGAAGAATTGCTCTGTTTGGAATAACATATTAGAAGAATCGTGGTCTGATTCAAAGCATCAGGTTTTTAACTTCTCTTTGATTTTTAATGCAAAGAATGGAAACTGATAAGCTGATGCTCATTTGAAACATGCAATTAAAAGAAGAGTGGGGATCTGGAAATTAATATCTTCATTCTGTTTTTAGGAATGAACTAATGGCAAATAGGACCACAATAAAGGAATTCACACTGTTAGGGCTGAATGCAAACCTTCCACTTGAAGTTAGCCTTTTTCTATTCCTACTTGGGATTTATCTTTTGACATTAATAGGAAACACAATGATTGTTGTTGTCACACTGGTGAATGTTCAACTCTGTAGCCCAATGTATTTTTTCCTCCGACATTTGGCATGGGTAGATCTTGGGTATATGAGTACTATAATTCCCAAAGCACTGGTCAACATAGCTACTGGTACTAAGAGCATCTCTTTAGCTGGTTGCTTCATACAGGAATTTCTTTATTTCGTCCTTGGCACCATTGTGTTTTTCCTACTGGCCACCATGTCTGTTGATCGTTACATAGCCATCTGCAACCCTCTTCACTATACAACCATCATGAATCCCCGAATCTGCTCATTATTAGTATTTTCTTGTTTGGTTGGAGGGTTTTTACTAATTCTAGTTGTATCCATTCCTTTATTTCTTATGCCATTTTGTGGTCCTAATGTCATGAATCATTTTTTTTGTGACTATGGACCCCTAATGAAGCTGATATGTATTGACACCAGCTTCCTAGAAATGACTTATTTTGTAGTTGCTATATTCATTCTGCTTGGGACCTTAAGTGTCAACATTGTCTCTTATGTCAAAATCATTTCCACCATTCTGCGTATTCCATCAGCTACTGGGAGAAAGAAGACCTTCTCCACTGTTGCTTCTCACATGACTGTGGTCACTGTCACTTACAGCAGTTGTATTTTCATGTATATCAAGCCAAAAGGCACCATTGGATTAGACTACAACAAAATAGTGGCTCTTCTGAATACTGTTATTGCTCCCTTTCTAATCCCAATTGCATACTCTTTGAGGAACAGACAAGTGCAGGATGCTTTGAAGGCTGAACTGAGACACAGGATTGGTTTTGCAAAAAAATGAGATGATTGGCTATTGCTAGGGCTCCGAAAAAGATGTTCAGATTTAATGTCTTTGAATGGATTGTGCTGCCTTCAGATGTAATAATTACCCATTGAGATGTCTTATAAGGGGATTTGAGAAAGCATAGAGTAGTGGTGATAAACCTATGGCATGCATGCCAGAGGGGGCACTCAGAGCTCTCTTTGTAGGCATGCATGCCTCACTCTTTGGCTAGTTTTTTGCAGGAAAAAAGCCATTTCTCAAGCCCCTTCGTAGCCAAAACAAGCCTCTGGAGCGAGCGTGCTCTTTTCAGCTTCGAATTATATCAAATCTGACACCAAAAACAGATTAACAGATGACCTGAGTGCTGCATATGTTGCTTTCAAACTTACAAGTATAAGCCAAGGTTAGACAAATTATCAGCATGCATACAACAACAAAAATCACATTAATGGTTCAAAAGCATGCCTAATGCAAACTGTTTACCTTTCAAAAAAAAATTGTATGTATCATTGAAATCTTTGTTATGTTTTTTTTTTCTTTTAAGGCAAAAGATGTCAATCTAGGAGTTGTTTTTTTAAACTAAAACCTCGGTATTCAGATTAAATTGTAGTATTGGCACTTTGCAATAAATAAGTGGGTTTTGGGTTGCAGTTTGGGCACTCGGTCTCTAAACGTTTCGCTGTCACTGGCATAGAGGATGGGATAATCAAGAATAAAAACATCTGATTGACATCAAAGGCCAAATACCTGAAAAAATTGGTTTGCTAGTGAAGAACAATGGAAAAAGACAATTGCCCATCTCTCCTGGTTGTCCATTTACAAAACAAATCTGGTTGCACATTATGTGACCTAGGAGATATGAGAGCTTCACCTAATGCATCCTCAAAGCTCTTACCATCTTCAGAAGCAGACCATACAGCCACCATCTCCTAATTGTTTCTTGGGTTCAAGTATGTTTTATTAGTTGGCACTCTGTGTGGATCATATGCAATACAATATAGTACAATAAGATATTTGGTTTTGGTTTACTTATGGGAGTCAATACTGGTGAATGTAGCTCTCCCTCTTGATGTTTATCACAGGGTAGAATAACTGAACTGGAGAATGAAGCTCAGTGATTATAGAATATCAGCAGGCAATGGTCCCATTGATAAAGCTGCATGTAACAGAAAATACATAGTAAAGGCATGAAACATGAGATCTAGACCTAGAGAATGTTGCCAATATAGAAATTAATGGTTGTAAGGTGCTCATAGTACCTTAATGTGAGGTGAGCAGTAAATTTGGTTTAAAAAATAAAATGAATAAAACAAGTATCTAATTAAGCGGTTTTGTTGGTTAATTCAAACCAAAACACAAGTCTAAGGACTTTTTAAATTATAGCATCTTATTTCTCAAGACCTATCAAGAATTCATGCAAAGTTGCTTTGGGATATTGGAGAAATATGATAGACAAGACCTCCCTTCCTTTATCTTACTCAATATGACTCACAGTTCTCATTTATAAATATTTTTTGACATCCAAATAGCTAGCAAAGGTTGAAAGTAGAGGGATGTTCTTGAATGTCTCAGAATGCAAGCAAAACCACAGTTAATAAAAGAAATACGAGTCCAGATCAGAAACGGGCATTGACATCCAAGACTGACCATGTTTTGTGATGCTCTGGAATCCTCCCTCAAATAATTTCTGCCTGAATTCACTCTCCCATTGGGAGGCTCAGTTTTATTACCAATGGCCAATGGAATTAGACATGGCCAAGTCCATTTGATTCCCACCATTTTCAATGAGTTTTGTAAATGTGTGCTTGTAATACTTGAAATTGATTGAGAGAGAACTGATTTGTGTTATTAGATCTGAATTGAATGGCTAATCAAATAAATCCTCAATTGAAGTGAAGACATCCCTTGGAACATGCAAACAATGGTCTTCTCTGTCTTTGGGTTTGACATTAACAATAGAGGGAGATACAGAATACTTGATACAGATTCCTTGTAATGCATTTCTCTGCATTGAGATGTCCCTGAGGGATCTTCACAAATCAGTCTTGAATTTTTCTTATACCACATGCTTCAGAACTGTAACTAGCTCTATTGAGTATAAGATGTTGTTTCTGTGTTCATTGCTATGGAAAGATATTAAAGATGAAGGCTGAGATATTGCACAAGGGGTACATCCATGAGCGAAGAAGACAAGGCTTCTTTTCAAAAGCCCTGTGAATGGAGAGTGCTATGCTTCCCAAACATTGAACTAAGGGGTAATATCTTATTAGATTCTTTTGCTTTGATTTGTAGGCATAACAAAACATTGATTAACCAACTAGAAAATAGCTTTTATGTAGATTGCAAGGAGCAAAAATGTAGTTTGCCTCCGAAAAATAACTTAGGAAGCAAAATTTGATAGCTAGCTGCTTCAAAACAGTAACTAGTTCTATTGTTTATGAGAGGTTGCTTCCATCTTCATTGTCATGAAAAGGTATAGAAGAAAGAGGCAGAAAAACTGCATAGGGGCTACATATGTGAGCCAAGAAGACATCTCCTCAAAGTACTAAGAATGGAAAATTCCATGCTTCTCAACAAACTAAATTAAAGGGGTAATATTTTAACAGATGTTTTTGCTTTGCCTCTGATTTGAAAGCAAAATGGACATAGTTTAAAAATCTAGAGAAGTAAATACTATTTTCTATATAGAAGTTTGGGATGAGGAGATGAAAATAGAAGCCACTACTTCTTTTCTTCTTCCAGATGCAAGCTAGACCTCTCACTGATGATCATCCCAAAGTTTCATTCTTGGAGCCACTAGTTTATCCAGTTCATGTACATCTTATGAGAAGGATTCTTGTGATGTTTTCAGATAGAGTATGTATTGTGCAATTGTCTATGCATGATTTAGAGGTAGCAACAGGAAGCCACTAGGAATTATGATCAGTTTGGTGACGTTTTCCTCCCATCACTTATATCAGGTATGGCCAATAGGAAACCATAGGGAGAGCTATAAGATCTAGGACCTTAAACTGGAAAAGGACAATTCTAGTTCACATTTCTCCTCAACGGCTTCTAACACTACCTGTCAGTGGTATTATAAGCAGCACAGCCTCATTATCCATGATAATTCAGAAATCTATACCTTCCAGTATGCTATGTAAAGTAGCACAGATGATGAGAGTCATTCATAGAACCTCAGCAATTATGTTTTCATGGTTAAATTGATTTATAATATAGAATTTCACTTCCAGAGAACCAGTTGGGTTTTTCCTTCCAGAAGACATAGACTTCAGTAAATATATGCCTGAAGAAAAGCCTTAAGTGAAGGCATCATTCTGCCTGTCGATCAAGAAGGTATAACCGAGGAGCTTCCTGTGACAGCAGCGGCGATGGTGGCTGTTTTCAGCCGTCTGCCCTGGAATGTGTCAAAGCCAGCTGAGACAGCGAGCAACAGCAGTCTCGTGGCTTGGAATCTGTCTCCCTGGGCGAAGGGGAGGAGATGAGTTTCCCTCGGATAGTGGCAGGGCTCCCTGAGAGACCCCAAAGTTTTTTTTTCTTTGGTGGTCGGAGGGTGAGAGCTCCCACGGAGTCTGAGGCGTTCTCCACATTCCAGGATGCCTTTTCTCTAATTTTTTTGGGGGGGCAAAGCTAGACGCTGCTTACACATCTGCTTTCAAAATGAACTTGTGAGTAAAATTTAAAGCAGACAGAGCTGACCAGGGAGATTATATCTGTGATTATTTTGAGACTTTAACTCTGGAAAAGATTTCATCTTCTCTCTTTTCTTATTTGAGAGGGGTGAAAAATGGCACTGAGATGTTGTTTTTAAGAGTGAAAGGACCGGAACTTTAATTTGAAATAATGTAACAGCTTTCTTTTTTCTTCTTTTTTTTTATTTACACAGGGGGCTTTTGTTGTTTTTTTTCCCTCCTTTTGTCTTCTTTTCTCTCTCTCTCTCTTTGTTAAAGGTTTTATAAGATTTTAAGAGTTTTTTTTTTTTCAAGATGGCTTCAAAGCATTTTGGAGCTTTTGTTTCTAAAGCCTCAATCTCCTCTTCGGTAATGCAGACAGCTCAGCAAGTCAAGTCTAAATTTCCACCACTTTTCTCAACTTTACCAGCAGTTTTACCTAAAGACTTACAGGACGCTTTGGAAGATAGTGTACGACGGATTGAAAAAGAGATAAGTGAAATTATTGAAAATAAATTTAGGAAATTGAGAGAAGATATAGCGTCTGTGCTTCAGAGGTTTGCTGATCACATAGATCACTTGGATCAGCCTATTGACGTTGCTGTAGAAAATTCTGAAAAATTGGAAGATAAAATCGAAAATAAGGTGGAAATAATTCAGGATGAAATTACTATGTTACAATACAGAAGTATGGAGTTTGCTTTAAGAATAAGGGGAATGCAGGAAAATAATCAACAAGATTTGAGACAAGTGGTTGCAATGGATATAGCTCTTATTTTGGAATCCGAGCCTGAAGAAATATTGAGAGAGACAGAAAAAGTTTTTAGGGTTAATTCAAGGGTTGCAAGACAGAGCAATCTGCCACGAGATGTGGTTATTTATTTTTTTAGTAGATCACTTCGTAATAAAATTTTACAAGCCTTTTACAAGCAGAGATTTCAAATTGCAGCCCAGGATGTTATACTTCTAAAAGAACTACCTTCAAGAATTCTCAAAGTAAGAAAGCATTTTGCTTTTTTGGCTGATGAGCTTAAGAGGCGACAGATTCGTTTCAGATGGGAGATACTGGCTGGAATAGTGGTGAATTATGCAGGGACACGCTACAGACTTGATACAATTTTAAAAGCGAAAGATTTTTATACTTCTGTTTTGAAGGCGGGCTCTTTATTACCTACAGCTGAGATATTAGAAGAAAAATTGGAAGAGCAATTGATAGAAGATATGCAGGTTAAACCTTTGCAACAATCTCTCTTGACAGAAGATTCATTAATGAAATTGAGTACTTGTGGAGCTTTTAGAAGTAAAATAAAGGTGGAAGAAAAGCTGGAAGAGCAGCTGATTGGAAAAAATATGCAGGTTGAACCTTTGCACCAGTCCTCCTTAACAGAAGATTCATCAAAGAAATTGGGCATGACTCGCGCAGCGTTTAGAACTGAGGTATTAGAAGAAAAGTTGGAAGAGCAACTGATAGAAGATTCGCAGGTTAAACCTTTGCAACAATCTTTTTTGACAGAAGATTCATTAATGAAATTGAGTACTTGTGGACCTTTTAGAAGTAAGATAAAGGTGGAAGAAAAGCCGGAAGAGCAGCTGATTGAAGAAGATATGGAGGTTGTACCTTTGCAGCAGTCCTCTTCAACAGAAGATTTATCAAAGAAATGACTCGTGCAGTTTTGTGTCTGGATACAGATCAATGATTTTTGAGTCATCACAGCATGGTTCTAGTGGAGAAAAGGTGACGTATTTCCTACATATGTTGGACATTCCAGATGAATTATACACTACCCATGATTCAACAGATCACTTCTTTTCATTATTTCTCCAATCATGTCCCCCCTCCCTAAAACAGGAATGTCCCAATGCTTCATGTGATAGCTATTCCGCCACTATTTCCTAGCTTTTTAAGAAATGGACCCATCAGCCACATAGTCAGATGAACAGAACAGAACAAAACAGAACAGAATAGCTTTGTTGGCCATGTTTTATCGGACACACAAGGAATTTGTCTCTGGTGCATAAACTCTCAATGTACATACAAATAACAAAGTAATCTAATCATAAGACACCCATAAGATAATATAATAGAAAAGATAAGCTATATCCTTAGACATAAGTCAGTAAGACATAAGACAGTATTGTGGGAATTACGTGTTTTAGCAGAAGCACCCAATTCCCACAATAACTCCCCCACAGAAAGAAGTGGGAAGGTGAGATTGAGCATCATGAATGCTCAAGAGGAAGAGTTGTATTCAATTAGAAAATTAATTTAGTTTTAAATACAGCCTAATTATTCATTTAAAATGTTTACATAGCTGCCCATCTTATAACCAACTTTCAATTCAATTCAATCCAATCCAACCTAACCCAATACCATTTTAATCCAATCCAATCCCATCCTGACTTTGCTAATACCTTTTGCATTGTGTGCTTCAAAAAGTAACAAAGCCTGTATCATAGTTACATATCACAGAGGTTGGGTTCACAGAGGTTAAGTCAAAAGCAAACCACAACAAAACTTGGTATGTTGCATGACAGAGAACAAAATAAAGCACAAATTATGAAGAACATGAGGACAATGATTTTCGCTGTCTTTGGGTTTGACATCAATAAAGGCAGCAGATACAGAATACTTGAGGGGTCCTTGGTGCTCTCTGAGCTGGTTCATTTTCTTGAAGACATTTCATTACCCAAACTAGGTAACCTGCTCAGTTACCTAGTAATACTTGGGGTATTGTTTACTTGATTATTGGTCTGATGTTAATATTGAAGTTAATCTATGCTGATCTGGGTGCTGGTTGCTGGTGGAGAGGTGCCTGTTAATGTCTTTTCAATAGACACATAGACATTAACAACATCTATAGACTATGCAAAAGGGACTATCACCCAGCCCAAGAAGATGGAAAAACACCCAAGCACTTCTCCATCAGCGATCAGCACCCAGAAAAGCATAGATTAACTCCAAGTTTAAAATCAGACCAACAGTCAAGTAAAAAATACACCAATCAAGAAACTGCCAATGAAGCCAATAGCAAACAGCCCAATCAAAGAATCTCTAAGACCATTCCCACCAACACAGACAGGCAAGCCACTAGCAATAGCAATAGCAATTAGACTTATATACCGCTTCACAGTGCGTTACAGCCTTCTCTAAGCAGGTTACAGAGTCAGCATATTGCCCCCAACAATCTGGGTCCTCGTTTTACCAATCTTGGAAAGATGGAATGCTGAGTCAACCTTGAGTCGGTGAGACTCGAACTGCCAAATTGCTGGCAACTAGCAGTCTGCAGAAGTAGCTGCAGTACTGTATTATAACCACTGCACCACCTTGGCTCTGAAATATAGAGTAGAAGAGGGGTCTTCAAACCTGGCCCTTTTATGACTTGTGGACTTCAACTCCCAGAATTTTTCAGCCAAGTACGCTGGCTGAGGAATTCTGGGACTTGAAGTCCACAATTCATAAAAGGGCCAAGTTTGAAGACCCCCTGGAGTAGAATATACACTAGAACAGGGGTCCTCAACCATGGCAACTGTAAGACTTGTGGACTTCAACTCCCAGAATTCCTCAGCCAGCAAAGCTAGTCTAGAATATAAACTGACAGCAAACCTCACTCCTTACTAGCACTAATGATGTTACCTAGTTTGGGTAATGAAACCTCTGCAAGGAAACAAGCAAGCTCAGAGAGCAACAAGGATCCCTCAGGTCAACGCTGAGCTACAAATATTCTCCTTTATTAGTAAGAGAATACTTGATACGGATTCCTTACAATGCATTTCTTTGCTCTTGGGGAATCTTCATGAGCAAGACTTGAATCCCTCTTATACTACATGCTTCAGAACAGTAACTAGTTCCATTGCCTATGAGAGGTTGCTTCTGTGTTCATTGCCATGAAATGTTATTGAAGACAAAGACAGAGACATTGCAGGGAAGGTACATCCATGAGCCAAGAAGATGAGGCATCTTCTCAAAAGCCCTGAGAATGGAGAATGTTATGCTTCCCAAACACTGAATTAAGAGGTAATATTTTAACAGATGCTTTTGCTTTGCCTCTGATTTGTAGGCATAATGAAACACAATTTAACCATGTACAAAATGGCTTCTACCAGCAGAAATTAATATGAGACAATAGCATAACATCATAATAATGATAGGAATACTTTTATATGTAGATGGCAAGGGGTGAAAATGTTAGGCATTAAAAAAGGGAATAAAATAAAATAAAATAAAAAAGTTCCTTTTTTATCCCAATACTTTTTTCAGTATTGGAGTACCATAACTTCTGGAGGCAAGTTGTTCCACTGATTAATTTTTTTTCACTGTCAAGAAATTCTCCTTAGTTCTAGGTTACTTCTCTCTTTGTTCAGTTTGCATCCATAGTTTCTTGTCTTGCGTTCTGGTGCTTTGGAGAATAGCTTGACCCCCCACTTGTTTGTGGCAGCACCTTAAATATTGGAACACTGCTATCGTGTCATCCCTAGTCCTTCTTTTCATTAGACTAGATGTACCCAGTTCCTGCATGCATTTTAATCATCTTTATCTGTTCACATTGATTCTGTTAACAATCCTCTGTTCCCATTCATTTTAGGTAAAAAAAAAAATTGAAAGAGAATTTGAACCCATCTCAGAAGAACAGTCTGGAGAACTTTCAGCAAAGGTGAGATAACCAAAATATCATCATCCAGAAACAGATATTTCCATGTCCACAAGGATGAATTGTTTTTGACAGGCTGAAACATGGAGGGGTCCCTTGTAGCTCCACTTGGATTAACCACATTCAGAAGTAGACTACAGTGAAGAATTGTCCTGTTTGGAATAACATATTAGAAGAATTGTGGTATAATTCAAAGCATCAGGTTTTTAACTTCTCTTTGATTTTTAATGCAAACAATGGAAACAGATCAGCTGATGCTTATTTGAAACATGCAATTAAAAGAAGAATGGGGATTTGGAAATTAATATCTTCACTCTATTTTTAGGAATGAACTAATGGCAAATAGGACCACAATAAAGGAATTCACACTGTTGGGGCTGAATGCCAACCCTCCACTTGAACTTAGTCTTTTTCTCCTCCTGCTTGGGACTTATCTTTTGACATTAATAGGAAACACACTGATTGTTATTATAACACTTGTGAATGTTCAACTCTGTAGCCCAATGTATTTCTTCCTCCGACATTTGGCATGGGTAGATACTGTGTATATGAGTACTATAATTCCCAAAGCACTGGTCAACATAGCTACTGATACTAAGAGCATCTCTTTAGCTGGTTGTTTCATACAGGTATTTCTTTATTTGGTCCTTGGCACCACTGCGTTCTTCCTACTGGCCACAATGTCTGTTGATCGCTACATAGCCATCTGCAACCCTCTTCACTACACAACCATCATGAATCCCCGAATCTGCTCATTATTAGTATTTTCTTGTTTGGTTGGGGGGTTATCACTAATTCTAGTTATATCCATTCCTTTATTTCTTATGCCATTTTGTGGTCCTAATGTCATGAATCATTTTTTTTGTGACTATGGACCCCTAATGAAACTGGTATGTGTTGACACCAGCTTCCTAGAAATGACTTATTTTGTAGTTGCCATATTCAGTCTGCTTGGGACCTTAAGTGTCAACATTGTCTCTTATGTCAAAATCATTTCCACCATTCTGCATATTCCATCAGCTACTGGGAGGAAGAAGACCTTCTCCACTGTTGCTTCTCACATGACCATGGTCACTATCACTTACAGCAGTTGTATTTTCATGTATGTCAAGCCAAAAGGCACCATTGGATTAGACTACAACAAAATAGTGGCTCTTCTGAATACTGTTATCACTCCCTTTATCACGCCAATCGTGTATTCTTTGAGGAACAGACAACTGCAGGATGCTTTGAAGGCTGAACTGAGACAAAGGATTGGTTTTGTAAAAAAAATGAGATGATTGGCTATTGCTAGGGCTCCGAAAAAGATGTTCAGATTTAATGTCTTTGAATGGATTGTGCTGCCTTCAGATGTAATAATTACCCATTGAGATGGTCTTACAAGGGGATTAGAGAAAGCATAGAGTAGTGGTGGCAAACCTATGGCATGCATGCCAGAGGGGACACTCAGAGATCTCTCTATGGGCATGCATGCCTCACTCTTTGGCTAGGTTTTTGCAGGAAAAAAGCCATTTCTCAAGCCCCTTTGTAGCCAAAACAAGCCTCTGGAGCGAGCGTGCTCTTTTCAGCTTTGAATTATATCAAATCTGACACCAGAAACAGACCAATGACCTGAGTGCTGCATATGTTGCTTTCAAACTTACAAAGTATAAGCCAAGGTTAGACAAATTATCAGCATGCATACAATAACAAAAATCACATTAATGGTTCAAAAGTATGCCTAATGCAAACTGTTTACCTTTCAATAAAAAATTGTATGTATCATTGAAAACTTTGTTATGGTGTTTTTCTTTTAAGACAAAAGATGTAAATCTATGAGTTGTTTTTTCTAAACTAAAACCTCAGTATTCAGATTAAATTGTAGTGTTGACACTTTGCAATAAATAAGTGGGTTTTGGGTTGCAGTTTGGGCACTCGGTCTCTAAAAGATTCGCTGTCACTGGCATAGAGGATAGATAATCAAGAATGGAAACATCTGATTGACATCAAAGGCCAAGGCTCTGAAAAAATTGGTTTGCTAGTGAAGAACAATGGAAAAAAGACAATTGCCCATATCTCATGGTTGTCCATTTACAAAACACATCTGGTTGCACATTATGTGACCTAGGAGACATGAGAGCATCACCGAATACATCCTCAAAGCTCTTACCATCTTCAGAAGCAGAACATACAGCCACCATCTCCTGACTGTTTCTTGAGTTCAAGTATGTTTTATTAGTTGGCACTCTGTGTGAATCATATGCAATACAATACAGTACAATCAGATATTTGGTTTTGGTTTACTTATGGAGTCAATGCTGGTGAATGTAGCTATTCCTCTTGATGTTTATCACAGATTAGAATAACTGAACTGGAGAATGAAGCTCAGTGATTATAGAATATCAGCAGGCAATGCTCCCATTGATAAAACTGAATGTAACAGAAAATGCACAATAAAGCCATGAAACATGAGATCTAGAGCTAGAGAATGTTGCCAATATAGAAATTAATGGTTGTAAGGTGCTCATAGTCACCTTAATGTGAGGTGGGCAGTAAATTTGGTTCAATAAATAAAATGAATAAAACAAGTTTCTAATTAAGTGGTTTTGTTGGTTACTTCAATCCAAACCACAAGAATAAGGACTTTTTAAATTATAGCATCTTATTTCTCAAGACCTATCAAGAATTCATGCAAAGTTGCTTTGGGATATTGGAGAAAGATGGTAGATAAGACCTCCCTTCCTTTATCTTGCTCACTATGACTCATAGTTCTCATTTATATAAAAAAAAATGGTATCCAAATATCTAGCAAAGGTTGAAAGCAGAGGGAAGTTCTTGAATGTCTCAGAATGCAAGCAAAACTACAGTTAAATAAAAGAAATATGAGTCCAGATCAGAAATGGGCATTGATGTCCAAGTCTGATCATGTTCTGTGATGCTCTGGAATTCTCCCTCAAATACTTTCTGTCTGAATCTACTGTCCGACTGGGAGGCTCATTTTTATTACCAATGGCCAATGGAATTAGACATGGCCAAGTCCATTTGATTCCCACCGTTTTCAATGATTTTTGTAAATGTGTGCTTGAAACACTTGAAATTGATTGAGAACTGATTTGTATTATTAGATCTGAATTGAATAGCTAATCAAATAAATCCTCAACTGAAGTGAAGACATCCCTTGGAACATGCACACAATGGTCTTCTCTGTCTTTCGGTTTGACATCAACAATAGAGGGAGATACAGAATACTTGATACAGATTCCTTGCAATGCATTTCTTTGCACTGAGATGTCCCTGAGGGATCTTCAGAAGTTAGTCTTGAATTCTTCTTATATCAGATGCTTCAGAACTGTAACTAGCTCTATTGAGTATAAGAGGTTGTTTCTGTGTTCTTTGATATGGAAAGATATTAAAGATGAAGGCTGAGATATTGCAGAAGGGGTACATCCATGAGCGAAGAAGACAAGGCTTCTTTTCAAAAGCCCTGTGAATGGAGAGTGCTATGCTTCCCAAACATTGAATTAAGGGGTAATATCTTATTAGATTCTTTTGCTTTGATTTGTAGGCATAACAAAACATTGATTAACCAACTAGAAAATAGCTTTTATGTAGATTGCAAGGAGCAAAAATGTAGTTTGCATCTGAAAAATAACTTAGGAAGCAAAATTTGATAGCTAGCTGCTTCAAAACAGTAACTAGTTCTATTGGTTATGAGAGGTTGCTTCCATCTTCACTGTCATGAAAAGGTATAGAAGAAAGAGGCAGAAAAACTGCATAGGGGCTACATATGTGAGCCAAGAAGACATCTCCTCAAAGTACTAAGAATGGAAAATGCCATGCTTCTCAACAAACTGAATTAAAGGGATAATATTTTAACAAATGTTTTTGCTTTGCCTCTGATTTGAAAGAAAAATGGACATAGTTTAAAAATCTAGAGAAGTAAATGCTATTTTCTATATATAGGTTTGGGATGAGGAGATGAAAATAGAAGCCACTACTTCTTTTCTTCTTCCAAATGCAAGCTAGACCTCTCACTGATGATCATCCCAAAGTTTCATTCTTGGAGCCACTAGTTTATCCAGTTCATGTACACCTTATGAGAAGGATTTTTGTGATGTTTTCAGATAGAGTATGTATTGTGCAATTGTCTATGCATGATTCAGAGGTAGCAACAGGAAGCCACTAGGAATTATGATCAGTTTGGTGACGTTGTCCTCCCATCACTTATATCAGGTATGGCCAATAGGAAACCATAGGAAGAGCTATAAGATCTAGGACCTTAAACTGGAAAAGGACAATTCTAGTTCACATTTGTCCTCAATGGCTTCTAACTCCACCTGTCACAGGTATTATAAGCAGCACAACCTCACTATCCATGATAATTCAGAAATCTATATCTTCCAGTATGCTATGTGAAGTAGCACAGATGATGAGACTCATTCACAGAACCTCAGCAATTATGTTTTCATGGTTAAATTGATTTATAATATAGAATTTCACTTCCAGAGAACCAGTTGGGTTCTTCTTTCTAGAAGACATAGACTTCAGTAAATACATGCCTGAAGAAAAGCCTTAAGTGAAGGCATCATTCTGCCTGTCGATCAAGAAGGCATAACTGACAGCACTAAATAGAAAGATGCAAAACTCCATTGATAGAAGATAGTACAGGAGGGAATGGATATTTTCACATCAATGTCACCCAAGAGATTTCATCTTATTATTGCAAGCTGTGCATGACATAAAAGAAATCTATTTTATGGTCAGTGTGTTTTACTTGTACCAATAGAAGAACTGAAAGCCACTTGTGGTAAGTTAAAAGAGTTCCTACATGGTTCTCTTAATGTTCCCCTAGTGTGGTTTTGAGTTCTGCATATTTTGTTGAATATACTTACTTAAAGTATACTTTACTTGGCCAAGTGTGATTTATCTCTGGTGTAGAAGCTCTCAGTGTTTAATGGAGTAGAGTAGAGTAGAGTAGAGTAGAATAGAGTAGAATAGAATAGAATAGAATAGAATAGAATAGAATAGAATAGAATAGAATAGAATAGAATAGAATAGAATAGAATAGAATAGAATAGGAGTTGGAAGGGACCTTGGAGGTCATATAGCCCAACTCCCTGCTCAGGCAGGAAACCCTATACCATTTCAGACAAATGTTTGTCCAATCTCTTCTTAAAAACTTTCAGTGTTGGGGCATTCACAACTTCTGGAGGCAGGTTGTTCCACTGATCCTTAGTTCTAGGCTGCTTCTCTCCTTGATTGATTTCCATCCATTGCCCCTTGTCCTGTCCTCAGGTGTTTTGGAGAATAGATTGACCTCTTCTACTTTGTGGCAAGAGGTTTATATACAGGACTGTATCTTTATATACTTACATAAAAAGAAGTATCTTCATAAACTTCTCTATAAAGGCATTCATGCTAGAGTTTTAATATTATAGACAGTCTTTGAACACGAAATATGGGAATGAATAATTTGAGTGAATATCACATAATAGCAGCAATGCCCCCTTCCTCCATAAAAACAAGTTCTTGTTTTATTAAAAACCACACACTCAGTGACTGAAAAACAATGATCCAACCAAAATATATTCTTTTGCAGAGTTATATTTTGAAGGAAGGTTGACCATCAGTTCTCAGTTTCTGCTCCTTGAGAGAAGTCATTTCAGTGCTGGTACATTTCTATCAGAAGAGGCATGAAGGAGAAGAACCCAATCTCTTGACTTCAGAAGGCTGGGGGGATTTTTCATGAGCGGTCTCCAGTTTTGAACTTGGGACTTAAGAGAAGAAGGCAAAATATATATTTTCTAATGACACCAATCTGCAGTGCGTTGTTACTTTGTTTGATTTTTCTCCACTAGCAAATTCACAATGAGAACTAGGACTCAGAATAGCACAACACAAGTGACAGAATTCATCTTAATTGGCTTCCAATTACCTAGGCCCATGGAATTCTTCCTTTTTTCATTGCTTCTGGTTGTTTTTTTCTTCACCTTAGCTGGAAACCTCATGATTATCACTCTGGAATGCATAGACCAACGCTTGCAAACCCCCATGTATTTCTTCCTTTTTAACCTCTCCTTTTTGGAGATATTTTTTGTTCTGACAATCACACCAAAGATGTGATGGATTTAGTTACTCAGAACAAATCTATCTCTTTCTTGGGCTGCATCAGTCAATGCTATTCTTATTTCTTCTTTGGTACCAGTGAAATCATCCTGATTGCCGTAATGGCCTTTGACCGCTACATTGCTATCTGTCATCCGTTGCGCTACACGATCATCATGAATGGACGGGTTTGTGTGAATTTGATATTGGTGTGCTGGATTGGTGCTTTCATGAATAATTTTGGCCCCATTGTTCTCCTGGGCCAACTGTCCTTCTGCAGCTCTAACGTTATTGAT